GTCACACTGGGCTCCTGGGGGGGGTCACACTGGGCTTCTGGGAGGTGTTACCCTGGGCTGTTTATGGGGTGTCACACGGGCTCCTGGGGGAGTCACACTGGGCTCCTGGGGGGTGTCACACGGGCTCCTGGGGGGTGTCACACTGGGCTTTTTATGGGGTGTCACACAGGGCTCCTGGTGGGTGTCACACCGGGCTCTTGATGGGGTGTGACACAAAGCTCCTGGTGGGTGCCCCATTGCTGGGTGCCCCATTTCTTCCACTGCCCTGTATCTGCCACTGCTGCTTCTGCCCTGTAGAGGTTGGATGTGCTGTCCCAACAGCTCCATGAGGCTGTGATTGCCCTTCCTGATTCACCTCCTTGGGCATTCACGGAGACTGGAGGCATTGACTCCCCGTGTGTGGGACGGCAGAATGAGTAGCTGGTTCCAAAATTAAAAGATTTCTGCCCTCACAGCAGAAAGAGGCAGCAGAGTTCCTGGCAGGAGGTATCCAGCCTGCATCGTGCCTCTTGGTAACCCCTGCTCTTGCACAACCCTGAGCACTCACTGGGGGCTGACAGGATCCGTTTCCTTCCAGCCCTGTCTGGGAGCTCTGAGCTTCTGCTGTGCCCAGCTGCCATGGCTGTGACGTGGGGACAGTCTCTGTGGCACTCTGGGGACACAATGCTGAGTCACTGTCATACCTCACTGGCTGCAGCATGAGCATCACTTGGGGACAGAGAGGAGCCAGCACAGTGGCTGTCACCCGTCACCTGTAGCTGTAACTGGTACCGTGAACACCGAGATGTGAAACAGAGTTTAGGAGGTGATCAGCTCGTGTCTCCCGTGTCCCAAAGACCAGCTTGGTTTCTGTGTGGTTCTCTCTGCAGACCAGTGACCCCCCCCTCGTGTCAGCCCTCCTGACTGTGAAAGGTGACATCACAGAATCCTACCGAGTCCTGCTCATGGCAAGAGTTGTGTCTGCAGCTGCTCCCACTGGCTGAGGGATCCAGCCAAATGGAAAGGAAATGGAAGTTCCATTACTGGGAGATCTCTGGATCTCTGCTGGAACGTGGGAAGATTTTGAGGTTGCTGCAAATAAGTGAGGGCAGAAGGGATGTGGGAAGGAAGGGCTGTGTGACATTTCTGCTCTGTTTCACCCAAAGTTCTCTGTAAACTCTGGTGCCAGTGGCTTCACTTTCCAGCTGACTCTGTGACAATAATCTCGTGTTAGAAGAAAGAATTACTGAGGACCCCCAGCAGCTACATCTGCTGTTAATCCCATGTCTCCCAAAGGTGGGCATTCCATCAGGATTTACATCCACATTGGTGAGTTTCTACCTTTATCCAATTTCAGATGCTTTTTGCATCTGAAAAGGTTTGGAAAAGCCTTAACTTTTTCTAAGACTGGAATAAAGTTTCTTATTCAAGCCTCCTCCAACTCATTTGGGGAGTCACTTTTACAATGTACAGTCAAATCTGCCTGCTGACATGTGCTCAAGGGGGAATATTCCTGTGCTGTTCCCTGGGTCTGGGCAGACACTTGCCAGAGATCCTGGCTGTCCAGGAACTTTGTATTTCTGTATTTGCTTTCTGCTGAATTCTGGGTGAGAGCAGCATCCTGCTGTTCTGGGGAAGCCAGAGTGCCCTGCAGGTGGAACTTGTGTCAGGAAGCAGCAGCTGGTTCAGGGCAAGTGCAGAGCTGGAGAATGGAGGGAGCAGGAAGGCAGCAGCCATTAGACACAGGATAATCCTGTGCATCTCTTATCACACTCTTTCCTGAGTCACAGGCAGCCTGTGGCAAAGTTCCCTCCCCACCACTCCGTGCTGCCCTTTGGCCCCTGGAGCTGTTAAATCCCTGACTCAGATGATGCAATCAGAAAATAGAAACATTATTGGTAAATGTCCCTGTGGTAACGAGCTGGGAGCTGCAGGAACAAGAAGGGAAGCAATTGTCGAAAGGAACATTTTAACCAGGCTCCCCCTTTGACAGGGGAGGTTTGTGGGAGTGAAGAGGGGGTTCCTTGTTTTTCCAGCCAGTGTTTGATCCATTGAGATGTGTTCTCATTTAATAATGGATCGAGTGCCTGTGGAGTCACTTAACTCTTCAGTCTAAAGACTGCAGATGCTGAAGCTGTCCCAGTGTCCTGGGCTGGGGAGGAGCTGGGGGTGGCAGTGGCAGTGCCAGCCAGGGACAGCTCTGCCTCCCTTGCAGGCCCTGGGTGTTGCTGCTGGCACAGCTGGGCCTGGAGCTGGGCACAAAATGGGCTTTGTGTGCTGGCTCCCTGCAGCCCCAAAAGGGTGAGTAAATAGCACTGCACTCACTAAAACCGCTGCACACAGCTCTGCTCACTCAGCAGGGACCTCATGGCAGGGCAGTTGTCAGTAAGCAAAGCAGGCACAGCTTGTGGGAGTGGAGGAGCTACTTCAGGCACTGCATTTGTGGGCACCCATTGTGTGAGGATCCTTCAGATTTCACTCCTGGAAACCAAAAAGTGATGGCTGACAACAGATCAGTTTCCAGACTCTGGTTATGATAACCATACAGAGTGCTGAAAATAACTGTAACATTATCTACCGGGAAACAACACCCCTGTCTTAGGAATCTTCCATTTCTCAGAGGTCAGGTACTGAGAAAAAGCATCCAGAGGATGAAAAGGAGTAAAAAATCTAAGAATGATGTAAAGACAGTGACACTGGTGCACTCACAGGGTTAGGCTGAGTGAGGAGCAGCTGCCACCAGCCAGCTGAAGGCACCAGTGGTACCCAGCAGCTGAAGGTGAGCAGGGGTGTCACCCACTGTACTTGCATTCCTGGGACTGGAGAGCTTGGATCAATATTTTCACAGGATTGAAGTGAACAGAAGGTTCTGGGTTTCTCTGGTCAAAGTCTCCACGTTTAAAATTCAGTATGTGTTTGTTCTCTCGGGGGAGGGTTGGACCAGGATAACAGGTGGTTATTTCTGGAGGACTGAAAATAAAGTAAACTCTCCCTGTAAACTCCAGCTGACAGTCTGTAAAGCACTTATGGAAATCTGAACAGGTTTCAGTTCCTTCCATAAGAGAAAAGCCTGGTATTTTAGATGGGCCTCAAAAGTGATTGTGTTTGACTTCTTGGGGGCACAATGGCTGCTCAGGATTGGGTTTCCCTCTCTTGGATTGCTTTGTTCTTTGGGGACACAGGGTGTGAAGTGCCAGCTCTCACACGGGGCAGCACTCTGGCAATGAGACACAGGCTGATGTGGAAGGGAAAACAAATTATCTGATGTGGAAAAGCAGAACACTTGGGAATATGTGCACACTGTGCTGCTTCACCTGGGACACTACTACAGCTTCAAAAGCAAAAGCACAGCTACTGAGTCTGCAAAATGTAACCCTGGATGTTTCACTGCCATTCACTGACAGCTAACCACAGTTAGAATCATCACGATGCAAACCTGCAATGATCAGAGGTGCACACCTTCAGTTTACTGAAAATGCAGGAATTCTGTGAGGATTCTCCCACAACTCTCATGTACAATGTGTATTATGTTCAACAGCAGTGAACAGAAAATTGACTGGGACAAGTGAAGATGGAAACAATTCCCTGGTAGCTCAGACACATGGAGCTGATCAGAAGTGGTGGAGTAGGTCTGTAGCAATTCCCTGAGCATGCAGAGCTGAGTGCTGGTGTGTTCTCCTGGCATGGATCAGTGCCAAGTCCCAGTGCCCAGCAGGAGCTCAGCACAGCTCCTGCAAGTTCATCTCTTGGAAAGGCACCAACCCTGTTCAGTTCTGTGCTTCCAGACTGGGTTTTCCACAGTTGTAGCACACTGGGCATTAAAACTGCCAGGCGACTCTAAACATGGAACCTGGTGTTTCTGTTTCATGTCACAGGACCCCCGTAGGAATGGAGCTGTTGTTGTGAGGACAATATGGAAAATGTAACCTCAGAAGTATTTCTTCATTTCCTGGAAGTTGAAGTTTTCTGCTCCTCTAACTGCACTTGTGACCATTCTGCTTTCAAACTGAGTTTTGCAACTGTGACCACTCTTGGGTCCCTGGATACAAACTCGTGCTTTCAGATTTGGGTCTAAAAGCAAACATGAACTTCGTGGCACTGATGCAGTTCTGGTTTAATGAGCAATTCACACCCCCATGTATGATCTTCATAATCCTTAAGGGCAAACCCAGCTCATTTGTAAAGCAGAGAGTGAGAGAGTAAGCACTGGTGTCATCCACATTTATTAACTCATGTTCTGCTTCTCCAGAAGTGATTTCAGCTATTTCTTCACATGTATGAGCACAGGTTTCCCTAAATGAGCAACGGCCCCATGACCCTGAGCAGTGCTGGAGGAAAACACTGCAGTCACTTTGTCACATGCCACTGCTGAGCCTGGAAACATTGGCTTTCAGTTCTAGGAATCAGAAGTAGGGAACATAGGGAATACAGGGAATATCACCTGGTGCTTCCCAGGCATTGTGTCCATTGGTGCTCCCCATGGAGTGGCTGCCCCAGGATTGTGCTGGGCTGGCCCTGACAGGACACCAGGCGCCACCAAAGCCACTCCATCACTGCCCTCCTCAGCTGGACAGGGAGGAGAATACAACAAATGGGTGGAGAAAAGGAATTTGTACATTTGAAACGTTCGACACATCAGTTAAACAGCCTGGAGCACACCGATCCTAAAGAGCAGTCAATTCCTTTTCAGTCGTGTTTCGTGTGCTTTAACAAGGCTGGTTTTAGAAGGGGAAATTATCTGCTCTTCTAAACGTTTGTTTCTGACTCATATATTTCATACTGGGTTTCTCATTCCTTTATTTCTCCTTCAAGTCCCTCTGACACAGCAGAGGCTCCGGGGTGTGTCCAGCGGCTGCACACCTGATGGGTTCTGCTCTGTAAGAGCAACGCCCGCAGTCCCCAAGCGCTCCGGGGAAATCTCTGCAAGCGGAGCTCTCCCCCTGTACCCTGCCCTGCCCCCGGGCTGGGCAGGCAGGGACAGGGACAGGGACAGGGAGCTGCTGCCCGCTCCCGCCCGCTGCTGCCCGCTGCTGCCGTGCCCTGCCCCTCGCGGCTCTGCCCCCCGGATGATGCCGGTTATTTATTGCGCTGCCCAGCACGGGCCGGCCCCAGGGCTCGGTGTCCCCTTTCAGCGCCGGCCGCGTGTCCTTGAGGCGGCTCCCGGCGCTCCCGGACACCGCCCGGAGCCCGGAGCCTCCCGAGCACGGCGGTCGGAGACGAGGCACTTCTCCTCTGGCCACCTGCTGACCCAGCCCCGGGTTCCCCCTTTCCTAGGCACCGCTCTGTTCTGGGAACAACCGTGAGAACTCTGCCCGGTGAGTAACCACTGCCTGTTCCCAAACCTTTCCCACCGTGACCAAGTGACATTCCCACGCCTGAACGGTGACTTGCTCGTGGCCATCCCTACAGCTTCTTTTTTGATCTCTAAGACAGTCGGCAACTTTTAAATTTCACTTGGCTGCCCTTGCTCTGTGGACTGAGGTGAATGGTTCTGTCCCAAGACGACTCCCAGGTGTCACTTCTGAGCAGTTTGCAGAGGCTGTCCTGTGGTCAGAGCCATTGTTCTGGCACAGGAAATCCATGGCAGGAGGTTCAGTACACACAACCCTGCTGAAATGGCACAGGAGCTGTTCTCCTCCTTTTGTACTGCACTAGAGGTATAAAAAGCCATTTCTGGCTGCATTGGAGCTATGGAAAAAATAATGTTAAAATATCTGGGGACACAAGCACTTGTCCAGACCAGCATTTGCAGACAGGCCTCTGCTATGAGGCACCTTTAAATAACAGTTACCTTTAAATAACACTGATTTGGCTTTTTGGGAATCCTGCACGAGTCATTCTCTCTCCCAAGCAAGAGTAAAGCACCACTCAATAAAAAGATTTATTGATTCAGAAGCAACTTTTACAGTGGGATTATTTGCACGTTCTCATCTGGAGTAATGGCACAACCATGAAGAACAATCCAAAGTGGTTTTGCTCTGTACCCTTACTGAGTGCTTTCCCTTTTCCACCCCAGGGAAGTGCATTCCCTGTCCTACATGCACTATTTAAATGAGTGAATCGTCTGCCTTCCTTCACAGATGCCCTCAGAACATGTCTGATTGGACAAGTCTGTGGTATGTCTGGTAAGTTGGCTTTTAATCTTCCAGCAGCATTTGGAAGTTTTGATGAGCAGCACAGGATCAGGGAAGGGCTTCTCTGTTTTCAGAGGAATGGCCTGGATGAGGCCAGGGGAGATTGGGTGTCAGGTGGGGACCAGCATTCACTGAAGGCTGTGTCATCTTTCCCTTCTAAGTACTCTGGAGTTGAACTCCAGGGCTTGTTTGTTCTTCCTAAATAGCCAGAGCCTTGCTGGCTCTTCTCACAGGGCAGCTTCCAGCAGGGATTTGCTGGGCCCTGGCCCTGCCCCATGCCCGGCTCACTCCCTTCTACGGGACAGGGACAGGGACAGGGACAGGGTCAGGGACAGGGACAGGGACTGTCACCCTCTGCTGAGCTTCCCCTCAGAGCTCCAGGAGCACAGAGCTGAGCACTGCTGGGAGGGGCAGACTGGGACAAGAGAGAGAGAGGATTCCCAGCAGGATTCATCTCCTACCTTGCCCGTGGTCTCGGTGCCCTGACATTGTTTTCACAGTTGCCATTCTGTCCCTACATTGGCTTTGGTGGCAGCACACAGAGGGAGTTGATTACTTCACCTCCTCCAGTCTGGAGCAGTTTTGGTTGATACACAGAGCTGTTTAAAAAGACACAGTTAACAAAAATAGATTGAGAAGGCTTCTAAAAGCCTCCATGAGAAGAGGGGGCTGGATTGAGAAACTGAGGGGTGGGAAGGTGGAGTTTCAGTGGAGAGGGGAACCTGAAACACAGGTATATCAGTCTAGCTACATTGTAAATTGTTAAATTATTATCTTCCCTAAGCAATAGCTAGAGATAGAATTGTGTTTTCAAGGCATAAATATAATTTAATATAATATCATTTCCATGCTCATTTATAAAGAGAGAGCCTAGACTTGTGGAAATTCATTTTTCTATTTCCCTCCAAGTACAAACCCTCTCTTGCTGTGGAAAGCAGAGCCATTCTCCCTGCACAGAAGTTGAAAATAAGCAAAAATAGTGAAATGTTACTGCACCTGTGAGCCAGAATGGGTTGTACTTACAAGCAGTAGTTCTTCTACTCATGATAGTGTTTGTGATCCAACTTTCTAATCCAGGATCCAGCACCCATTCAGAACTGAATCAAGGAGGCTTGGCCTGCCTTCTGACCATTTTCAGTGAAATTATATTCTGGTTCAGAAGCAGTAAAACATAAGCAGTGGAATGGAGGTGTTTCCCCTCTTTCAGGCTGATCTTGCTGCTGGTGTTCCTGCTCCTGCTCTGCGGGGTCTCAGCGAGCTGTGTCAAATTCTGCTGCCGGAAGAAAAGGCTTCCAGTGGAGCCCTTCCCTCGGCACCCTTGTGACCTGCCAGTGATTGGCATTGACAGTGACAGCACTGCCCACAGCACAGTGACCTGTGAGTATCCTGGTGGCACCTCCTCCACGGAGCGCTGCTCCTGGGCCTGTGCCTGGAGCTGTGTCCAGCCCCTGCAGGAACAGGAATTCCCAGTGAGCTCCCAGGACAATTTCCAGCCCCACAGGGTGGGCACAAGAGGGGAAGGGAGGGATCAGGGTGACAGTGAGTGACACTGAAGACAGGAGTGACTCTATATGGACAGCTTTAGTATACAGTGCATTTGTTCTGAAAACACAAAAGTCTGTAATTTCCTGGAAAAAAGCAGGATTAGCGCTTCATATTTCAGTGTCCCATGCAGGTGTTTAATTTTTATTTTTAATTCTTTTTCTTCACAGCATACAGCTCATGGCAGTACCCTCCAAGTGTCCAGATTCCCTTGGTATTTGTGGATATGGATAAGAACACTGTGTCCCCTCCAGCTTACAGCCTCTATGCCATGGACCTGCCACCTTCCTATGATGAAGCTGTTCAAATGGGAAAGCAAGTGGCACGGACAAACCAGAAACTTGATGACATCCCTGAACAGGTGACATCACGTGGGCTGAATCCCAGCCAGTCCCCACCTGACACAATCAACAGAGATCCAGCAACACAGGCAAATTCAGAAGATTCAGAAGATGCCAGGAAAGAACAGCCACAGGTCTGACTCAGTTCAGATGGGGAGAAAAGTAAGGGAAGGACTGTAAGAGTTAAAGAAGACATGAAGAGTTTGGGTTTCTAAGTAGGTTATGATGGAAAGATATTTCTTCTCATGCCCTTGTAATGATTTGTCAGAAGAAATGTTTTCTGTGACTGCTGTAATCCCCTGGTAAAGCTTCTTCAAGGATATGAAATGAGGTAAAAGGGCAGCAGTTTAAAAATGCCTGTAAAAGTGGGACGTGAATGCGTGTTCATCTTCTGATAAAAAAATTGTTCCTTGTGTCCAGCAATAAAAAAGGTCAGGAGAATTTTGCCACCTTGGGAATACACACTCAGAACAGCACAAACAGGAAGCTGCTGTACTAGAACAGAAGTTTCCCAAGTGGAGTTGAAGGGGGAATCCCAGCAAGTGACACTGAACAACCTCTGTGGTTTCTCTTCTTTTGAGAACACCAGCTGCCCAGGAAACTGCTGAGGACAAATGCTGCACAGTGGCTCGTGTTCCTCAAGGAGCAGGAAGATGCCAGGACAGGAGAGCGTGGAGGGAAATGCTTTGTGCTGTTTCACACCTGCACAAAGGGAATGAGGCAGATGAGACACGACACTTCTGTGCTGGTGGTGGTCATGAGACCCCAAGGGATTGTTTTTGAGGTTCTATAAATCTTTCCATTTCTATTTTTGGAGATGTGTTGCCTTGTGGGTGGGTTCCCTTTGCTATTTATTTTTTCCACATAAAGTACACATTAATTCCAAAGAGACACCTGCACACATGGTTTGGTATTATTGATATTTCAAATATTCATCAAGTATTTCAAATATTTCAAAGGTACCTTTATATTTTGTTATCTGCTCAGGTGTCAGGGTCTCAGGCAGCACAGGAAAGAGAAATCACAGATTCCTGGCAGCTTTTACCAGTTCAGCACATGGACAAGCTCAGGAATGAGCAGGGTGACACAAAACATGCTTGTGCTGAGCCATCCAGAATAAGTTAGAGATACAAATACCACAGTACAGGCTGGGCAGAGGTTCAAAGAAAATACTCTTAGGGATGGCTCTTCGTGAAGTACTGACAGAGGGATAACTGCTGAGCATCATTTTAGAACTGGGAGCTTGGAGCTGATTACAGCAGTAGCAGCCCAGACAAAAATATGGGCTCCAGAGGCAGGGTTTTTAATGCCAGCTCTTTCCCTTGCTCTTCCATATTCCAAATGGTCCAAATTTTGTCCACTCCCGAGCAGTGATTTTCTTTGAATCCACTTTATCAAGGTGCTAATCTGGCTGCTTTAAGGACATGAGCAATTGCCAGGGTGGCTCATTGCTCTGGGTAAGAGCAGCAAGCAAAGCCTGAGCACTCGGTGCTATTAGTGAATGTAGCATAAATTTAGGTGTCTGTCATTAACAGGCAGCAGAAGTGGTGGGCACAAAAGCCTGCACAGCTTTTAGAAGACTGTTATTCTCTGACAACCATTACTGCAAGAAGTGCCCTGGAAATGAGCAGTAATGATTTAAAAATGAAGATCTCTCCCAGCCACAGGCCCAAGATGCTGCTGCAGAGTCATGTGTGAGCTGTCCATGAGTCTGGCTCCCCAGGGAAGGGTCACTTCTATATTTAACTTGCATGTAACTTACTATGAGGGTTGACTGGTGCAACAAATCTGCTTCTCTGTGTCTCCTCTCTGTCATCCTTCATTACATTTCTGCTGTTTTATTCTTTCCTTATCTGTGTCAAGATGGAGGCTGGGCACAAGCCAGGGTAACTACTTGGATGTCTCTGGCTGGAAGGGCAATATATGCCCAGTTCTGGATGTCTCCAACAGATGTATTTTTATTTATTGAACTTTTCCACAGCACTCAGAACGAAGCCTCTGCCTCCCGAAGAAGGAATTGCCATAAATACAACAGATGTGTTTTTATTTATCGAACTTTTCCACAGCACTCAGAACGAAGCCTCTGCCTCCCGAAGAAGGAATTAACGCCGGAGGGAAATGGCTGAGCGTTCCCTCCCAAACAGAGACGGGAATTCAAAGGCAGGCGAGGAAAGCATCGCGGCTGACACAAGAGGGCAGTCCCTCCCTTCTGGCTGTGCAGCAGCAGCAGGAACCATGGGCTGCAGTGCCCTGCCTGCTGCCCTGCAGCGCTGCACGGGACCTGCCGGGCTGCCAGCTCCCTTCTCCGTGCTCACGGGAGATGCGAGACCCCAGGATGCCTGTGAGTTCCTAGGAAAAGGCATCACCTGGTGTTTGCTCTCTAGCACCCAAGGAAAAATCTTGTGTTTTGCACAGGTTCTTGCCTTGTAATGTAGCTCATTAATTCAGAAATTGTTAACTGCCCCAATCAGCCCTCGGGAACATAGACTTCCCTCTGCACACAAAAGCAGTTTGCTGTGTAACCTTCAAAGTTAGGAAATTATTACAGGCTTCCTTCTCCAGAGCCTAAGGGTGATGCCATGCTGGAGTCCTTCTTGCAAGGGAAGGTTGAAGAGATCCCTCATCTCTACACAGCTTCTGTTTCATGGAACAGGTAGAACTTCACATTTTTGAAACTCTATCACTTTGCTTGAAATCGGTCAGTGGATTCAGAAGTTATTAGTTGGGTGTGCAGAGTGGAAGGAAGGGAAGCAGGACACGGATTTGGAATTTGTGGTTCCAAAGCCTTGCTTCCAGAAGAAGGCAGTTTTAAAAAGAACACCAGGGGGAGGCTGGTCCCACAGCAGGGTATAGGCTTGGCCTGATGCAGGATCTCAGAATTCTCATTTGTCAGGCTGGTGGTTTTCACCAGCACTAGATCTATTCAAGTCTGATTATATCCACACAAGCTTTGTGACATCTCTAAGGGAAAAGCCCCTCTCTGTAATTACCCAAAGTGCATTTTTAATTGTGATTTCTATTCGGTCCTCAGTTTGGCACTGTTCAGCATGCAATTTCTCTTCTCTCATTTGTTCAAAATGATCATTTTGTCAGTTATTTTCTGCTTTCTTTGCTGGCTGTGTGAAAGAGCCTGTGCTGGGGAGATGGACTGCCGAGGCTGGAGCCTCCATCACTGTCTCTCCTCTCACACATGCACTCGAGCACTTGTGCTCAGAAGGAAAATGCAGCCATGGAAGTAAATTTTCTCAATAATTCATGGGCTTTATAGCCCAGAGCAAATTATACCTTGGCTCTTTCATGAATCTCAGGCTGCAAATCCCTTTATAGCCAAGCTCGTTAACAATAGAAGTAAAGTGGTACCTCTAGAATGGCTTTGATAATTGATGCATTATAATCTTTGGAGAGTATTTAGTGGTAAACCTGCAGCATCCAGACTGAGCCATCAGTGGGGTCTGGATAGAGGAAAAGTCAGAGAAAAAAACATTTCTTTGTTTGCCTCGCAGTTGTCTTTGTCTGCCTCAAACAGCTCAGGTTTGGTTGCTTTGTTTTCTAACTCATTTTGTCTTTATCAGCTGCAGTTTTTGAGGGAAAAGGATCACTGCTGCTGCCAGGACAGATGAGTGGGACACTGGGACACAGGCAAAACCTGCTCACTTATGGAACAAAATATCTCTGCTACAACCACTCTCCATACTCTTGGCTGTCTCCTGGTTCTAAGCCTCTTTGCCTGTTAGAACTCTTTTTGCTTAGGGAGACACTGACTAATTTTGCTGCAAGTAGCAGAGGTTCTTTCCTTCACCCACAATTAAAATTCAAACTGCCAGAGAAGCCTTGGAATCCTTTTCAGAGCAGAAGATGAAAACAAAGTATCACAGGGGAATTGTGCTCTTAAAACTGGAGAAGACAATAAATGTTTTATGAAATTCTACATCCTAAGGTCAAACTCAATGCAAAAAAAAATTGCTTAGGTGCAAACCCACATTGCTGGGAAAACATTTTGTTCTGGTCAGTCAAAATTTAGAATATAAAATGCCAGAGCTGCTCTCTTTTTATCTTACTGGAAGGAAAAGGGGCCTTTAGAAAAGAATGCACACTTTCAAAGATATTTCAATTTTTTAAAAATAACAAAGCTCACCTTGGGCACTCAGAGAAAGGAGCAAATCAATTTCTATTTCAAACATAGAAATGAATCTGCAAACCTGAATCTATGTTAAAGTACTGAACTTTTACTCATTTTTTTTACCCTGCTTTCCCAAGTAGCTCAAAAACGAAACAAAAGAGAAGAGCCTGATGGTGAGCTCTTATTTGTGCATTGGGTTTTTTCCATGCTAGGAGTTTATGGCATAACTGCTTCCCTCCACAAGTGAGGAAGCGCAGTCCCAAGGTCCAAGTACTGACCTGGGAACCCACTTTGGTGACTTTTCTGGCACAGGCTTCCCACACGACACTGGTCTGTAGAACAGGGACGTAGCTCTGCCTTTTCTTGCACAGAATTTGGAGGATGAATACACTGAGCGTGGGCTGCGCTGTCACATTGAAATACAGGTACAGTCAGAGCATGATGAACTTTGTGTGGGACATGAAGTGCAGGAAAAATCCTCCCCGCTCCCTCCCCCTCTTAAGGGGCGAATCTGGAGAAGAAACTCGGGCAAAGTGTGAGATTTAGAAAGAGCCCCTGGACTTCAGGTGCCTCATCACAGCATTCCTAGCTGGGGAGAGAGGCAAGGTTTGCTCGGCTCCACTGGAAAGGTTTCTTTCCCCAAAATCCTGCCAGGCAGCTGTGCTGAAGGTGGGAGAAGCTGCTCTGCCCCGCACTTAAGGTCACCCCAGCTGGGTTTGAAGGCAATCGAGCTGTGATTAGCCGGCAAAGCAGAAGGCCATAAAAATAAACACTCCGTGTGTGTTTGGAGCAGGGCTCCTCCGCCCTTGGCTGGGCTGCCTGCTCCCAGCAGATGGGGGAAGTGAGCCGGAGTGGCCCCGGTGAAGGTCGGCTGGGCAGACTGCAAGGCCAACACACAGCAGCAATTACATTTAGTGCGATTATTTGGAGGAAAAAATCGTGGTATGCTTTAATTCCTTACTTATTTAGTATATAGACTTTCACCTCTTGATAAAAGGCCCACAGTACCTGCTGTAAAAAACGGAAATTCAAATGGCTTGAGCCATCTGGGAAATAAAAAAGTGTGTGTTTGGTTATTTTCCACTGTAATAATGAGGAAAAAAATTCGGTGATAATGAGTAGGGTTATCTCTCAATCAAGAAACATCCTGGAGTAGGACAGACACCAGGTCTACCACAGATCCTGGGCATCTAGATAGGTTTCAATGTCTCTGCCTCTATTTTCCATGGGTAAACAATTCTAGGATGCAGAGGTTGGAAGGGACCTTTGGACATCCCCCGGTCCAGCCCCTGCTGCTCACTGGGGCCTGCCAGAGCAGCTTGCTCTGAACCCTGCAAGGATGCAGATCTCACTGCCCCTCTGGGCAACCTGTTCTACTGTCTGACCCCTTACAGTGAAAATAGGAAATTTTGGATTGTTGGAGTGGAATTTCCTGTATTTGGGATTGTTCCTACTGCTTCTTACTGTGCAAGCTGGTGCCCAGTGAGAAAAGTCTGCCTCTGTCTTCTTTATCCTTTCCCCCCAGGTGTTTATACACATTTATAGATCCCTCCTGTACCACCTCATCCTGAGGCCAAAGACTCCCAGCTTGCTCATCCTTCCCTCACACATCAGACGCTTCCATGCCTTAATCATCCAAATATTTAACTCCATCTTTTCTCCAACTTGTCTAAACCATCCAGGAATTTCCCCTGAATCCCAGCGTGCCGTTTAATGGATTTCTCCAGCCTGTGCAGTAAGGAGCTGCAGAAAGCAGAGCGTGACGTCCCCC